TCAAAATGACACTCCAGCGGTTTCAAAAAATAAAAGTAATGTATTTGGCGAAGTTTTGGATAACATTAGGGGAATTTCCTCCGCCAAAACTCTGAATTGACCAGGATTTGCTACTTTACATACATCATACTTCCTAATCCAAACAATAGGAAAGTAAAAATTAAACCGGTCGCCAACTCGAGTTTTCATCCCTTCCGGTAGAGCACAAATAAATTGCCATGCTTCGGCTTTTCGTGCCGCCTCATTGACTTCCGCTTGTGTTGCATCCAGACGCCCGTACCGAATATTATCACTTATGGTACCTGATGCACATAAAAACATTACTAGTTATCTGAATACGAAGCAGTAAATTGTTAAAATGACGAAATGTTTCGCCAAGAAGTTTACCAAAAAGTGGTGGTCAGCACCTTTTGTCCAGTAATGGTTTAAAATATCCAAATTTGAGAGGGTGAAGTGAGCGTTATGAACACTAGCAGGCTGACTACTGAGAGAAGCTGCACTGGTCAAAGCAGTTGAAAAGGCTATTTAGTGTATAACTGGAGAACTACCCTATGAACCGCAAATGTTCAAAGCAACAAAGCAGTTATTTTGTAACGCCAGATTTTCATTATCGAAAATTTGTAGTAGCAAAATGTGCGACAAATTTTGCGGTAAAATGGGAAAAATTTATGGTTGCAGAAAAAAATCGTAAAAAGAGTGGGCAGCGCACCATCAAAAAGAACAGGCTCTTGACTGACCAAACCAAGCTGCGCTCTCAAATTATCTGGATTCAGACGTTTCAAATTGAAACCATCCAATGTAATCTGAAAGAATGAAGAAGATGCTAGTAGTGCAATAAAAAACTTATGTGCAAGCAGTAATAAGCGGAACGCGCCCACACAAACACATACAAACAAACACATACACAAACAAAACACGCAAACAAGCACACACAAACACACACACGCAGGCAAACACGCACAAACAGCTCGCGCACTGACAGTCGCACACGTGTAAACAAAAACGCACACAAGAGAAACACACAAACAAACGCACACACACAAACAATCACATACACGCACGAGCAAGCAC